AAATACATCTTACTTTTAGATTCACCCAAAATCTAAGTATACGCTAATTTATAGAGTTAAAACCTCCTCTTCTCCTTAAACCTTTTATTTTATTTTTGGATTTGGATCCTCTCCACTACAAAAAAGTAGTGGAGAGACCACTATTTTTAATCTCAAGCATTGATTATTTAGTAGGCGGTTATGATACAATCTAAATCTAACACTTACCATACCCCCGTGTATTGCACTCATTCCTAATTTGCACTAAAAGAAAAAATCATAACCATTAACTAGATAATCAATGCCGTGTATTGCACTCATTCCTAATTTGCACTAAAAGAAAAAATCATAACCATTAACTAGATAATCAATGGTTGTGATTATGTAGTGGTCCCTCAACTATTTTTTTTTAGTGGAGAGGATCCGAATCCTTTATTTTTTTGCATATACACCCCCCCATATCTTATTCTATCGGTCTAGGTTGGGGGTATCTCGACGAAAAAGCTCAGAGGGAATCTTCAAAAAAGTATTAAAAGCTGATACGAGAAAGCGCGAGTGAGAAAAAAAGAAAAAAGAGGAAGGGAAAAAACAATGGAGATATCGAAAGAGGAATTTTTGAAGCAATTTGGGGACGACTACGGCTACCCAAATTCCCCCAAAAACATCGACGAGATCAGAGCTACCGAGTTCAAGAGATTGGAAGGTGTCCAATTTCTGGAAATTTTCCTTTTATTTTGATCCTTCCGTTGTTTTTTTTCCTTTTTGAGATTTTGAAGAAAATATAGGGTCTGTACTTTAATTTTGGTTGGTTTCAGGTTTGGTTTACTTGGATCACGCTGGAGCTACTCTTTACTCTGAGACCCAGATGGAATCCGTCGCCAAAGACCTCACTTCCAATCTTTATGGAAACCCTCGTATCCTTTACTTATGATTTATACTTCAAAGTTTAATTCTGTTTTTTTTATATTTGTATTGTTTAGGGATTTGTTTATGATTAGTTTGGTTCTTTAACGTGGTAACTGTAGACAGCCAGAATGATTCAAGCATTGCTACTTCAGATATGATAAGTGCAGCAAGACAAAAGGTAAACAATAACCTTTTTCTTTAATACCCATGTTCAAATTTTACCTTTTTAAATTGCTTTATTTGGTTATTTTTAGTTTTTCATTCAAGTCACTGACTAGTTCACTTGATATGGAGGGGGGTTATGGTTTTCATTTGGCAAAATGTTCTTTTGTAATTATTAAGCATGTACCTTTGAGAAAACTAGCCCACTGCTTGGCTTTTTTCTTAAAGGACAAAAGTCTAGCAAAAGGAAAAAAATGGCTGTTTTTATGGTTTCTATTTAGGTAACTATTTAGTACTTAAAAGCATGTTATCATAAGCAATTTAATTATTTATTGCTATCTATCTTTTATTTTAACTTTGTTTTTGCTGCACTTTGTTAATAGGTCTGCTCTGGTCTTTGATATATGTTTCCATTTTTTCTTACGAGAAAAAAATCCTTGAACTGAAACACTTTTTGGTTTTACCAGGTTCTCGCATATCTTAATGCCTCACCGAAGGAATATAAATGCATATTTACATCTGGGGCAACAGCAGCCTTAAAACTCATTGGAGAATGCTTTCCTTGGAGCAGAGAAAGCTATTATGTCTACACCATGGAAAACCACAACAGCGTTCTTGGAATTAGAGAGTATCCTGCCAATATATGAAACCCATCTCTACATTCTAGAACCATTATTTAGCACCTCGAAGATAGGAAACTCACTGTTGCATTTTTAGCCTAGTATTTAGAAGAGCTTCAAATATGTTGATACATAAAATTTGAATCTTCCAGCACCCTCTATGTTTCTATATTATGCATAAAAATGTCATTAAGTACTTACACGTCTGCATCCTTACATGTGTTCTGGCAGTAATACTCATGATCATATCTATATTGGGCAGTGGTATAATTGATGTTACCTAGGTTAGTCCGATCGTATACTCGAGCTTATAGTTGGTTGGTAGTATTATCATCCTGATGATACCTTTATCGCTTCTCTCTAGTCAGCACATGTTTTAGTTAATATGCAGGCTTGCATATTTTGAAGAATATTGCTCTGATACATCAGAACCTTAATGCTGCAATTTATCCTTATAAATATTTAGATATGCCCTCGATCGAGGAGCAACTTCTGTTGCTGTTGATATTGAAGAGGTTCAGGACTGCGGAGACCAATATGAAACTACTGGGTCCTCTATTAGGATCCAAAGACACTCTGTGCTTCAAAGAACTAATGCTTCATCACAGGGGTTAGCTGACATACATCCTTCAGGTAATTCTCTAACCTACTTAAACTTCATGCACTTGACAACACACTTATACACTTGAAACCCTTCAGAGGGACTAGGACCATTTATATTTTAGGTACTATTACTATAGTGAATCATAAGGGTTGATGACATAGGTGATAACAGCAAAGAAAATAAGTTTGAACTTTGAAGCAGAAACATGGAAAAAGCATTTATTTCAAGAAAATAGATTAGTATGATGTAACAAATGTATGAAATTTAACATAGCAAAATTAAAAAGAACGAAGTAGTACATATTGGTTGTCAAGAAGTCACTTGAATGAGTATTTTATGCACATAGGACCAATCAATTATCATATGATAAAACCAAGGACGATGTGGTTTATAAAATCAATGCACGATGATAAAAATAGTGAAGTGCTAATGAAGTCTATGTCGCTATAGAATATACTTGTTGTTACTTGTACAGTGAACTTAAATTATTGCTTGTCATTCATATGGTACTTTATATGGCTTTGCATAAATATAACATAGGTTCCTATTTCATTGAAAGGGATATCAAACTCCATTATCAGGGCTTAGAAAATTTGATACCTTCTGCATGCTAAGTAGTTCTAAAGTTCTAGCATTTCTGTGATTTAGGTGTCTAATTTGTTCTTGCATATTCGTGTAGGAAATGCTTACAACCTGTTTGCCTTTCCTTCGGAGTGCAATTTTTCTGGTGTGAAATATCCTCTTGACTTGGTTAAGATCATCAAGGAAGATGGAGGAAAGAAATTGGGAGGCTCATCTCATTCCCGGTAATTGTTAAAATTTATATTTCTGTAAGTAATTGTGCAACTTATAATTTCACATTTGCATAACCTTTGCATGTAAATAGCACTCTCAAATGTGGAACAGTCGTCCCCTGCCAACACTCATCTCCTTCAAAACATTAGCTTCTTTTAGGAAAATGCTTTGAATGAATAAACTACTGTGCGGATTCTATTTGTTACTTTCCCCCGTAACAAGCGATCCAGCTTGTGGCAACTGAAAATATTTTTATGTTTCAATCTCAAGGATTCACCAGTTTTGGAATGTATATCTATAAAGCATGCAAGAAAAGCTGGTATCTTTTGGAACATAGATCCTGTTGGAGAATGGTTCAGACATTATCTTATAGTCTCCTTCCTGGAGCTGTAACTTTGTCATAATTTCTTTTCATTATGATTCTCTATGACTGAATGAGCTTTACTCACAGCCAGTCAACTAATCTAATGGAAAGCATTTCTCCATCTACAAGCTATTTGAAAAACCTTTTCGTGACCTAGATGTTCGCTTAATGATATGAAGAAGACCCATAACACTTTAACAGCCCATGGCCCGCTTGTCTTAATACTGATGTAAAGAAAAACCTGGTTTAACGTTTCTGTATCCAGTTTAGAGACAAAGAGAAAATTGCTGTTGCATGTTTGGCAAGAGTGAACGAGATAGTCAGGCACCGGTTTTGCGGATGATTGTTTGCAGTGGATTGTGGTGTCAAAAGGGACGCTAATTTTGTAAAAGTCCTTGGAATAATTGTTTAAGAGATAAATATTGAATAACTAACTCTTCTTGTTATGAATCACCCCTTTCTTTTATGCTTATAACCAGACGAAAAGAAATACATGCATGGTTTATTATGCTGATTTGACATTGAAGAGATGACTTTCAACATTTCAATTTTCAAGCTTGTTTATGTCTTAAGGCTTGGATAATCAGTGTTTAACATGTACACTTCTGATCCTACATAGTATATCATAAGAGTATTTTCCCCATTTGTGGCTGTTATTTCACGATTGTGTGCAGGGGTCGCTGGTTGATTTTGATAGATGCTGCAAAGGGATGTTCAACCGAACCACCAGATTTAGCTAGGTATCCTGCTGACTTTGTTGTCTTCTCTTTCTATAAGGTATTTGTGGGACATGTTGATGCTAGCACATCTACACCAACTTTTAAAAAGAAATGCATTTGATTGTAATCTTTATTATTCTCAGATATTTGGTTATCCAACTGGGCTTGGAGCTCTTGTTGTTCGAACTGGTAAGTCATTTCTCATTTCAACGTCTGGGGCCATTGGTTTATTTCCCCCCTATAACTTGTAATATAGCGACTCATGTCTAAATGCCGATGTATTCTGATCCTTTGACATCTTTATTATTCACTTTCATGTCTGTATTCTACTTTTGCATTATATACACATCTTCTGATTTCTGAGCTACAAAACCTAGTGGTTTCCATGTAGACGTCCTCAACAGAAACACCATTAAGGAAGGTATTTTTGGCATCAAACTGGTATAATGACCAAAGGTAACTGGCTGCAAGAGAAATTGGGAGTTATGCACATGTCATGTTTGCCACAGGGTGATGGGGGGTAATTTACCTTGGTAGTCATCTCTCTATGTCTGTGTGTACTCTTTGGCCATCAACGTTTTAGATGATACCTAAATCTGAACTGATATCCAATCTCTATAACGTCACGATCTCTTCTTTTGCACATCTTTGTGCTAATCTGGATTGTACATAGCTTCTGAAACAAACCTAACGTCACGATCTCTTCTTTTGCACATCTTTGTGCTAATCTGGATTGTACATAGCTTCTGAAACAAACCTAAGATCTGTGTAAGATTTAATTGGGAAAAATGTGCTAATCTGGATTGTACATAGCTTCTGAAACAAACCTAAGATCTGTGTAAGATTTAATTGGGAAAAAAGCACTAGAAGGCAAGTAATAAAAATAAGCCAAAAAATTAGGTATGCAACTTGTTTTACCCTTACAAATAACATACAATTAGACTGAAAATCAAGATCAATGCTGGGAGTAATATTTCCAAAAGTGTTGTTCTTGCTAGATTTTGAATTATGAATTAGAGCAGAAGAAGAGATTGACACAATTATTCATGCATAATATGAAATGGAATGATTTGCTGTTGAAACTGCACGCTACATTCATGCATCATATGAAATGGAATGATTTTCTGTTGAAACTGCACGCTACATTCATGCATCAGGTGTTTTGAAAAGGTTTTGACAGCGAATATATTGTGGGAGAGTGCTGTCTTAGTCATATTCTTCTTTTTCCGCTCTGATGCATCTCAATACTTTATTTGTGCATTCTTCTAGACCAAGCTTTGTCATGTACAGCAGAGATTGATTTCTTTATGCTTCTGTCCTTCCATGTTCTTTTACAGAGGCAGCCAGGATTCTGAATAAAAAATATTTCAGTGGAGGTTAGTTGTTGGTTATTTATGTTTTTCTCCAAATATTGCCTCTGGTTAATGAATTTGTTACAAAAATCTTGAATCTTTCAGGTACTGTTTCTGCTTCAATAGCTGACGTTGACCTTGTAAATAGAAGGGAAAGCATCGAGCAATTGCTTGAAGATGGCACACTTCCATTCTTGAGCATAGCTTCCATTCGTCACGGGTTCAAAATAATTGATTCTTTGACTATATCTTCTATTGCCCGGTATATATTTCGACATATATTATATTGACTTGTGTCTTGACAAAAAACCATGTTTCTGGTAATCTAGTGAATGGACAAGGAAAATGCTTAATATCAGTATCTGACTATGATTAGTGCATGCTGTTGTAGTAGTTTACTTTTCTATATTATTTTTTATTCTCCAATAAGCCAATCTTATTCGTATTAGACCTGCCTGAGATTTATAAATCTACTCTTCGAATGACTAACTTCCATGATAGTCACTTTCTTTTGTTTCCAAAAAAAAAAGCACACAAAGAATTTACAATTAATCTTCTGTTATGTTACATGTTGGTTATGGTGCAATATACAGCTACTATTTATTGTAGATTTTCATATTTCTGTTTGAATTGTTTTTGAGCAATGAAATGAAAGCAACCTGGTAGCAAGTCGGGCATAATTTGTCTTCATTTACTGTATGACATACAATGAAGTGAATACCATCACTTGTTATGAATACTTGTACATGATCAGGTTAATCCAATGTTTTCTAATCTACCTTTCTTTGTTTGTAAATCTACCTTTCTTTGTGCATCCTCATTTACTAAACTAGTTACAAGCCGTATTCCATTTGAAATGATTCATCCACAATCCAATATCATTTTGGAGTATGGTTTATACATGTTCAAGCCGTATTCCATTTGAAATGATTCATCCACAATCCAATATCATTTTGGAGTATGGTTTATACATGTTAGAATATAAAAATATAATCCTCAATTCATCCACAATCCAATATCATTTTGGAGTATGGTTTATACATGTTAGAATATAAAAATATAATCCTCAACCCTCACCATAATTTTGGAGTTTTGGTGTAACGGTTAGAGGGACCTTAAGATGGTCCTAGAGCAATCCAAGTTCATATCCCACCGGCCGTAAATCTAAAGCGGATTTTTCTAAAAATTAACACCACTGCATGAGTCCAGAATTCGTCCAGAATTCGGCCCATAAAAAAGGGTGCTTAACCTGCGAGGGCATATTAGAATATAATAATATAATCCTAAACCCTCATCATAACTTCGGAGTTTTGATGTAGTGGTTAAAGGGACCTTAAGAATACTATTGAAAACCATTTCTCGTTCGAAAGATGTATTGTTTTCAGTACTCACTTTATCTTTCCACCAATCCACCCATGCTATACAACACATTAAATAATTGATCGGACTTACTGCTTTCCTTTTTTTGCCCTTTTATATTTGGCGCAAATCTTATTCTGAAATTCTTAGTGAGAATTCATATCCTAACCAGGAGAGCAAGAAAAATTCTATAGGACAATTAAAAGAGCAACACCATTTTGTGGATCACAATGTTGGGCAATTAAGAAATGACATGCGCAGAGACATGATTATAGCAGAAATGAAAATGGTAGAATGCATGTGTGGATATACAGTAAGAGATGAGATAAGAAATGAGTGCATTGATAAAAAGATAATAGATTTCTTGAATTGAGGATAAGACACGAGTAAATCAACTGAGATGGTTTGACCTTGTGCAATGGAATCCATTAAATGCACTAGTAAGAAAAATTGGTACTGCTATAATTAATTGAGAAAGGACAAGCGGTAGGCCTAAGAGAACTTGATTTTAACCAATTAAGAAAGGTACAATAATGGTTAACTTAGCGGAGGAGATAACCTTAACAAATTTGAATAAAAGAATGATTCTTGTAAATAGTAGGTTCAAAATTTTGTTATTCTCCTTGTTTTTCACTTGTTCTCCTTGTTATTCTAATCACTTACGTATTAGATCATCTGCAATTTCCTTGAGGTGTCTTTTAATTTACGCATTATCTTGGTTGTGATGCATTATATAGTAACCTTATCAGATGTATAATAAGCTGTAACTGTAAAGCAACGTGAGCATATGATCCTCGAGTAAAGGTGTTGATGCTGCTTACTGTTGTATTTAGCTTTTGAATTATTAAAATTCTTTTTGAATAGAAATTTGTATTAACTCTTCCTTTATTATTCATCATTATGTCACTTGAGCAATCTTTCTTCGCAAGATGTTGTATTCTGCGTGCAAGTATTTAACATATTCCCTCCTTTTTAGGCATACAGCATCTCTTGCCACCTATGTGAGGAATGCTATAGTGAGCTTGAAGCATGAGAATGGATCAGATCTCTGCACACTTTATGGAAGCAACATGACCAAGGTTTAGATATGTATATGTAGTTAATAGACAATTGATTCCTTAGTGTCTCTTTATTCGTGTTATTACTTTGCGAAGTTGCTGTTGGTTACTGAATATGTGAAGTATGTATGCGGTTAGTTTAGCATTTTGATTTCCGTTTTGTGAGATAGAAATGGATAGCTTTTGGGGATTCTGCTTTGAAACGTTAATGTTATATTTCCTATATCAAATTGGTCTTTGGGATTCAATTTAATGCATCTTGACAAGAGTGAATGTGAGATAATGCATTTGATATTCTAGTCTTGCTGTTACTTTTGCAGAATTTACATGTTTATAGTGACTAATTTTGCATTGTAGACACCGCACTTGTAACATAATGCATACATATGCAATTTTACAGTGTGTAAAATATATCTGCATCAGGCTTCTCTATTTTATTCATTATACTCATTGTTTCTACATAATTTTTCTTTTTTGTTTCTTTCCAAGGTGTTACCTCCTGATCTGGGTCCTACAATTGCATTCAATTTGAAAAGGGATGATGGGTCATGGTTTGGATATCGTGAAGTGGAAAAATTAGCTTCTTTATCTGGATTCTGGGATCCAGTTGCGGGTAAGTTTTGACAAATGCCAGTCATTAAGTGTAGTAACTTTTTCTCAAATAACTATGTTTTGCAACTTGTTCTTTCTCTTCACACAGACATGCATAGACATCTGTGGCACGATAAAAGGGAGATTTGAAAATTTCTAAAAGCTTATCAAATTAAGCCATAGGCATAGTCAACAAATAAATGTCTTCAATCGTGCCATATTTTTGTCTGTGGATAGACAAACTCTCGTGTACACGTGTAATGTATATATGTAACTGCGTGTGTACAAAATGCAAGATGTTGTAGGTGACCTGGAGATATACATGTCAGTTCATATGAAACGGGACAATACTGCATTCAACCTACAATATGACAGCTACTATACATATGATAGCATTTTGTGTCTCAGATGATAAGACTTTCTATATAGCCTAAATTATGCAATATGTTTATGCATAAACATGTTTATGTGCCCACATCTCTACTGCAGAAATATTTGAATCTTGTTAAAATACGAAAGACCTATGCTAGACCTGGAGGGGTTACATTTGAAAAGTATCAAAAATATCTTTCACGCTGAATTTCTGCTCAAGCTTAATGATAATGATACATTGTTAGCATGGTCACCTATTGACATGGTTTCCACTTGATGGCTTTATTGTAGACAGGCTGCTTCTGCAATCCTGGTGCATGTGCTAAAAATCTTGGTTTGTCTCATTCTGAACTTCTTTCCAATATTGAGGTACATCACATCCTTGCATATTGTTTTTATTGGTTTGCTAATTGCACTTTTTTAATGGATCATTAAAACAGTCTCAAAGTTTTCGTTCTATTACAAATTTAATGATTTCATTTATTCCTTTTAGCACTTCATTTTGTGTTCATTTAAACCTCATTTCAGTCTTTAGATGAATTCATTATAACAGTTGGCGAATTTGACACATACATCCTGGTAGGATTTCATTTGTTTTGCAGTTAACCCTTTATCCAAATGAACCTTTATCCCTAAAAGGTTGTAAGTGATGCTGACACCAGTGTCCATTTTATCATTGCTTACTGAAACCTTGGCTGCATCTTTTCTTCCTATTGACTGTTAATCTGTTATTGAGTGGTACGAGGAGAGACTCCTTATTCCATTCTATCCTAATAAATGCACCTTTAGCATTCATTTAAATACCGGGCAACATGACTGCAAATTTGAAACATTACGGAAACCGTAACTAAGTAATTTTAATTTCAGTTATGCTACTTGCCTGCAAACTCAATAGATGATGAACATGCAATGCATACACTAGTACAGTAGAACTTAAATGTAACACTGATATTTGTATTCATGGAAGGCTGGCCATGTATGCTGGGATGATAACGACATATTGAATGGGAAACCAACAGGTGCTGTTAGGGTATCATTCGGTTATATGTCAACATTTGAGGATGCAGAGGTAAAATGCCACCTATTTGCTTTTCAACTGCTTTAATTCCTATTGGGGCATTGATAAATTCTTATTTTGCGTGTAAGTTGTAATATTATAGGTCATTTTGCAAAATTATTGTTCCTACCTTCCAATGATATATGTACAGCAAAGAAGAAGAAGCTTTTCTCTTTCTGTGGAAATTTGGAATCTGTCCCGAGATATGTCTACGTGATTTTTCCAATCTGATTTATTTGCAAAGGCACTTAAGCCCTTTTAGCATCTGATTAGTGTTTATGCTCTAACTCTTGCATAGATGCAACAAATTTAAGCTATTTGTACTTGAAACGTAGGTCTTCACAATTAAGCTTCTCAGGATCACGTTAAGCTTTTTTAGGATCACAACTTGAAATGTAATCTTCACAAGTCAGGTTCTCAAATTCGATAAGTTTTTGCCTATATTTAAGAATTGTTTGACCAATGGATCGCCAGGTGCCGTTGAGCTTGCCTCAATGATAAAGCAAGGGATTGGGTAATTGGGGGTACTAGGTTAAAGATCGGGATGCAGCCTCCATTCAAAGAAGAATAATGATGAATGAAAATAAATCAGCAGGAGGTCAATTAATTTACATCACATCTTTCTACAATCACAATTAAAGCTGCAACAACATTGGCACATGATTAGAGTTTGTTAACAAAAAGGTTAAAGGTGTAAAAAAGATGCACATAAATACAAATTACAGACAGACGCAACCCCAGCAGGTATTAGTATCAAAGGCATAGAATAAGCCCTTTACTTATAATATGGTCTTATTCTATGCCTTTGCTACTAGCTACTGCTGGAGTTGGCTCTATATGTTATTTGTAGCTGTGGGCATATCTGTTTTACATCTTGAACTTTTTGTTAACAAACATGTAAGTAATCATGCGTCAACATTGTTGTAGCTTGACGTGATTCTGGTTTTTTTTATTGCTTTAGATTTAAAACTATCGGCAAGTTTGAGATATTGCATTAAGACTACTTTCTGCCATCCCTGACATCTCTGCTTCTCAAACATCAAAAACTAACATTGTCTACTAGAGGACTTTCAGCCTATTCTATGTGGCCCATTCTATCTCTTTACAATATCCTAAGGGAATTTGTTTCCTATGCAGCTGTATGCTTATAGTGTGACTAAATTCTTCTGTGCTACTATCCTTGATGCCCAGATTGCAAAGGAAGTATGATGTTCTCTGAACAAAGAGTATGGTGTTGATTCACCGCCTTGTTTCAATTTGTTTCTTTAGGAGGTCTGGACCTCTCTAAAAATACTCTGCTGTCCATAGATTATTTTTCTTTTTGGAATAATCAGGTCGAGAACTCCCATCCTTGCCTCTACATAGGGGAGGGATTTCCACTTGAAGGTTAAACATGAAGCTACCTTATCATACTCAAGTGCCTTTAGCAACTCTGCTTTGACCTCTCATTAACCTGATGGAACTACTGTACATTGAAGTAAACCCTTGGAAATTTGGGCAACGATCTTAAACAAATGTTAAGTGAGTTGGAGCTACTAAGGAAGCTTTATAAATGTAGTTAGAAATTCATCATGTGCAACGTACAGAAGTTGTTTCTTTTGGGTCACCCGAAATACCTAGCAGAGGCAACACTAATTATCCAACTTTAAAGGGCAGTTCTGCATTTGTATTTTTTAAGGGCTTTTATCTAGAGGAACTGGTATCATCTGTTACCTCCTTGTTAGCATTTAATGTATATCATCATGCATTTGGTACATGAATAAGAAGTTAGATAGTAGAGCTTCAAATATCGCATCTAAGTTGTAGTATCTAACCACTTTGAAAACTTAGTTCGGTAGTTCAATGCTGGGTCCTCCTATTGTATGGTTCTACAGAATATATACATACTATTAATATAAAGATTCACAAGATTATTAACATAATCTATCACACCCCCGCAGTCGAAACGGGAGGTTCACGAACGCTTAGACTGTCCCGAAAATCATTGAAGAGTATGCGCGGAAGCCCTTTAGTAAAGATGTCGGCGATTTGATAACGGGACGGAACATGAAGGACACGTACCTCACCTCGTGAGACCTTTTCTCGAACAAAGTGAATATCCATTTCAATATGCTTAGTGCGTTGATGTTGCACAGGATTGCCCGAAAGATAAATGGCACTAACATTATCACAATATACCAATGTGGCCTTGTTGAGCGGACAATGAAGTTCTAAGAGGAGATTACGAATCCAACAAGACTCGGAAACAACATTAGCAACACCCCGGTATTCAGCTTCGGCACTAGATCGGGAGAGTGTAGGTTGACGTTTTGAGGACCAAGAGATCAAGTTGTCTCCAAGAAACACACAATAACCCGAAGTGGATCTTCGGGTATCTGGGCATCCACCCCAATCTGCATCTGTATATGTGACAAGAGAGGTTGTCGATGATTTATAGAGATGCAAACCAAGGTCAAGTGTACCTCGAATGTAACGCAAAATGCGTTTGAGGGCGGCCATATGGTTGTCATTTGGAGCATGCATGTGGAGACAAACTTGTTGCACCGCATAGGAGATGTCGGGCCTAGTGAATGTGAGATATTGAAGTGCACCAGCAAGTTTGCGGTATTGAGTTGGATCATCATAAGGGGACCCGGTGGAGGTGCTGAGCTTCGGGTTTGTGTCCACGGGTGTAGGACATGGCTTGCAAGAAGTCATACCTGCCCTATCAAGTATCTCCTCAGCATATGTCTTTTGTGAGAGAAAAATACCTCCTGAATGACGTTTCACTTCAATGCCCAAAAAAAAACTAAGAGGACCTAAGTCCTTCATATCAAATTCAGAACTGAGGAGAGACATAATGGACCTTCGGAGAGCATCTGAAGAGGCAGTGAGAATAATATCGTCAACATACAATAAGATATATGCAGTTTGAGTGCCCTGACGAAAAATAAACAGAGAATGATCGGACTTGCTGTGAGAAAAACCAATAGTAGCAACATAGTCTGCAAATCGCTGGTACCAAGCCCGTGGGGCTTGTTTAAGGCCATAGAGAGATTTCTTCAACAAACAAACATAATCTGGATGATTGGGATCTTTAAATCCCATGGGCTGGTGCATATAGACAGTTTCAGTGAGATTACCATGTAAGAAGGCATTCTTGACATCCAACTGATGGATGGGCCAAGAATGTGATAAAGAGATGCTCAACACTGCCCGAATAGTCGCCGGTTTGACAACCGGACTGAATGTCTCACCACAATCCACTCCCACCTGTTGAGATTGTCCATCGCCTACAAGACGAGCCTTATGACGCTCAAAATCACCGTTAGATTTCTTTTTGTGACGAAAAATCCACATAGAACGAATAATATTAACATCAGCAGGTCGGGGGACTAACTCCCACGTCTTATTTTTAATTAGAGCATCCATTTCATCCATCATAGCCAATTTCCAATTCAGGTCACGAATAGCACTTATTGGATTTTTGGGAAGTGGAGATATGGAAGGGGAAGTAGAAACACTCAAGTTAAAATGCCTTTTGGGCTTAACAATCCCATGCTGACTTCTAGTGGACATGCGGGTAGCTGGAGTGGGCCGAACTGGCTGCTCGGCTCGTGGTGGAGAATGTGCTGGCTGGGCCGTTGCGGAAGAAGGGGCAGTAGGCTCAACTACTTGGACAGTAGGAGGAATGGAGCTAGTGGACTGCTGCCCGGACTGGGCCGTGGCAGGTGAGGGATTGTTTAGGGTGGGCGGCAGATTTGGGCCAGGGGAAATGGGCTCTGCAGCAGGCCTTAGTTGGGAAGAATGTTGAATGTGTTGGATCAAGTAAGGAGAGGGGTCGTCATCCAAAAAGGTGTAAGAAGAGGCAGTAGGGGTATGTAAATTTGCAAAAGGAAATTGATTTTCCTCAAACAAAACATGTCGTGAGATAAATATTTTCTTACTTGACAAGTCATAGCACTTGTATCCCCGATGGTTTGACGGATAGCCTAAGAAAACACAAGGAGTTGATCGAGCTTGAAGCTTGTTGATGGTAGAGGAAGGGAAGAGAGGATAGCAAAGGCAACCGAAAACCCGAAGATGAGAGTAGGTTGGATCTTTTTGGTAGAGAATTTGTGTAGGTGACTTGTACCCCAAAACCTTAGATGGTAAGACATTTAGGAGATAGGTGGCCATTTGAAGAGCATGGTGCCAAAACGAGGGTGGCATGGAAGAGTGAGCAAGAAGAGTCCGTACAATGTTATTGATGGATTTAATTTTTCGTTCGGACTTTCCATTTTGAGGAGATGTGTGAGGGCATGAGAGACGAAAATCCATACCACTAGATTCACAGAGGCTTCTAAGAGGACCATTTATATACTCCCGCCCATTGTCACATTGTAGGTTTTTGATTTCTCTTTCAAATTGGGTTCTAATATATGCTTGAAGTTTTTGGAATATCAAATAAACCTGTGATTTATTTGAGATTGGAAATGTCCACAAAAAATTCGAATAATCATCCAAAAATAAAGCATAATATTTATGTCCCGAAGAGCTTAAAACGGGGGAAGTCCATAAATCACTGTGAACAATATCAAAAGGCAAGCAAGTGAAAGAAGTTGAACTCTTGAATGGCAATTTCATATGTTTTCCAAGAGGACAAGAATGACAAAATTCACGGGCCTTATTACATTGAATAAAATTGTTACTACGAAGAGAACTAAGAACAGCTTCTCCGGGATGCCCTAAGCGGCTATGCCACAAATTTGAAGACGAAGCAGTAAATGCGGAATCAGAAATGGCCCGATTTTTGGTGAAGGGATAGAGATCTCCCGAGCTCTCACATCTCATTAGGTGCCTCCCCGTTCGTAAATCCTTCACATAAAACCCAAACGGATCAAACTCAACAGAACAAGAATTATCTTTAGTGAATTTTCTAACGGAAATTAGGTTCTTAATGAGTTTGGGAGCATGCAAGACATTGTTGAGATGCAAAGGGGGGTTCGAAGGGGATAGAGCAGTGCTACCGTAACCGTGAATTGGAATTTCATGACCATTACCGACTAATATACCACGGTTTTTGCTCAAATTAAAATAAGACGAGAGAGTACCTTGATTCGAAGTCATGTGAGAGGTGGCACCGGTGTCCATGTACCAATTGTTGTCATCCGGGGGATTGAGAGAGAGTGTATGAAAAGCCGCGTCAACATCAGTAGGCATATAATCACCTTGTGGAGGAATTGCAGTGGCATGATGTGCTTGTTGAGGGTGAGCACCCAAAATGCCAGGCTTCTTAGAGTTTGGACGAGGCTGCCATGAAGCTGCTGTAGGATAGGGGCAAGGAGGCATGGCCCAAGGAGGTGGAGCCCAGCCTCCCCACGCCGGATACTGCCAGGCAGGTGGCCACTGTGACGGTTGATGTGGTGCACCGCCACGTCCAGCATGGTTATGCCCACGACCTCCCCCTCGACCTTTGTTATTGTTGCCGTGATTATTGCCGCGACCCCGACCACCGTGCCTTTTGTGATAGTTGTTGCGGTGGTGATTGTCGCCATTATTGTTGTTGTTGCGAGGGGCATGATAGCTGCCGGAATTAGCATCAAAGGTGGGAGGGTTGTGACCCGCAAGAAGAGCCGAGTCAGACTCCCGGGCCGCACTGTTCTTAAGAGAATCTTCCTCCATCACAAGAGTTGAACGAGCATCAGAGAAAGACTTGAGAGGCTTACCGTGTTGAATGATCCTGCCTACCCCACGATAGGCCGCGTTGAGACCCGAACAAAGCACAAGCACCTTCCTTGCATCGGAGACAGGCACCCCGACGTTCCCAAGTTGATCGGCAAGCATTTTGATGCGTTGACAATAGGCAGTGACATTAGGAAAGTCATCGCAAGGTTTTAAATGTCGGTTATCGGGGATTTATCGGACGATCAAAATCCTTATCAGATAGCGAAAATCGGGGATATATCGGGGATAAGTAGTATTTATCGGAGTAATATACTAGCAAATAATAAACAAACATAAGCTTGAAAAAAATATAATGTTAGTCAAAATGGAATAATAAACTAGCAAATAATAAGATAACATCAAGAATGAAGAACCATCTACGCATCTACATAATTATTGTTTAATCATGAGATTCATAAACTAACTTACTAAGTTGATATTTAGTAGTTAGGAGCCATTATCAATATCCATAAACAAACATAAGCTAATCACCAATCAACTAAGTTCCAAAAGCAACAAATAGTTCATAATTTGTAAACATTCAAAGAGCAAATCCAAAAGAAAGTAAAAGCTCCCAAATCCTACTTATCGGCCGATAAAGCCGATATTTAGAGCCTACTTATCGGCCGATAAGTACCTTTATCGCCGATAACTCGCCGATAAACCTCAAAAAACGATAACCGATTAAAAATCCTACTTATCCTAGCGGAAAGCTCCCAAATCCGATAACTCGGCGATAATATCGGATTATCGGCCGATATTTAAAACCATGAATAGTTATTCATTTTGATGGGTTTTTAAGAAGTTTAAATTAATTTTCCTTTTGCAGAAATTTCTGAAGTTTGTAGTATCTTCTTTCGTAACAAAGCCAAATTTATCCAGAGATGCATATCCATTTGAAACACAATCATTGACTGGTAAATTTTCTTTTCACTTTGGATTGCCCTTAACATTTTAAGTATGCATTTCTGTGTTACCATTGTTATTCTTATTTCTTACAGTGAAAGCGAACGTATCATGAGCAGTGAGCTGATTACCTTATAGGAATTATTAAAATTACTCCAAAATCATCATAATTGTTACTTACCCTGCAATTGTCGTCGACCCTCAAGTTTATCCTCTGTTATAACTGTTAGGAAATGTTTTTGGGATCTTACCTTATACATCGTTAAAAAAAATTAACTATTTTTGTATATTACTGAAATATTCTTAATTAACCTTATTAATCTAAAGAACAACATCCTACGTCCTCTGTTGTGGGAGTGGGTCTTTGACTCTTTATTGTCCGCCTATTTCCTTGCTCGTCTTTCATGTTTGGACTGTGGCGTTCAACCACAAGAATATTGGTGGTTAAGATGTTGGCTGCAGAGGGCATTCACCAGGATCTTGTGGTTCATCATGCTGGACATTGCAAGTCTTGTTAGCCACAGGGGGTTATCTATTTTATATGACTGCAGATTATTTTTAGAGGCCATGTGTTCCGTATGATTGCTTCTGTTGAGGTCTTTGCATACTTATTGTTGGGAATCTTTTGCTAAATTCTTACTAATGACGTTCATATAGGATGGAGGGGAAGTTTTATAGACATGACAGGAATCCAACATTTAGGAGTGGTATTACTCTCTAATAGGTCCAGATTTTCCTTGGAAGTATCAGCATAGCCCACATTATAGCACACATTATAGTTCGTGTGGGGACTGAAATTTGATGTGAGGCAACGTTCTCTGGGGGATAGTGCTAGAGGAAAGTCCAAAATGTGGTAGCAAAGAGGCCTAGGGTTCGCAAATCTTGATGTGAAGTCATTTGTGTTGGGATGTGACCATGGTCTGGTTTGCCCATGATGGTGGGAATCCTGCTGTTGTGCCCATGGTGTGGGGACTGAAATTTGATGTGAGGCAACGTTCTCTGGGGGATAGTGCTAGAGGAAAGTCCAAAATGTGGTAGCAAAGAGGCCTAGGGTTCGCAAATCTTGATGTGAAGTCATTTGTGTTGGGATGTGACCATGGTCTGGTTTGCCCATGATGGTGGGAATCCTGCTGTTGTGTACATGATTAGCCTGGATGGTAGTGCCTAAGGATGCTAGTGAGGCCTAGTGCCAAATGAATGGTCTATCCAGTATATTTGTACTTGAAATGGAGATAGTTGAGATATTTGCCTGATACATGCTAGCGATGGGTTTCAGCAGGCCTGATACATGCCTACTTAAAGCTTCTTGGGTCAAGAGTGGTTACTGACATACTTGGGGTGTATGATATTCCTGTAGGGTGCAAGTTCCTAGGAAAAGTGGTGTCATTCTATAAGGTTTGAAGAAGCCCTTGGTTCAGACTTTGTTATTAATAATGTTCCATTTCGAGCAATTATTTAACCAGGAAAGCTTTTCAATGTTGACCGAAGGTCTACTTGATAGGTACCTGCAAGTGTTAAATTTGCTTGATATACATCATTAGGCTGCTGTGGATTAGCTTAAGCTTTTGCATAGTGTTCATACAGTTTGTGTAGCCAGTGCCTAGCTAGACTATTTCTATAATACATTTCTAGGTTCCATTTGGTTTGATGAATATCATCTTCTCATTTCAGCAACCCAAATGTCACGAAGATATTATATTGTGGAATTGATTATATATTAAGTTTGTCATTTCAGAGTGACGTGCTGATAAATTTCTCAAACTTCTAATACTTATTTAGATATTTTCTGTCTCTTTTTATATCCAGCGATCAGACATCTTAAGGCAACTGTCTCTTTTTATATCCAGCGACCAGACATCTTAAGGCAAACAAAAATTGGGTCTTATATTGTCAGATTATGGACATTAGTTGGGCCTAATTGATTATATACGAAAGCAATGATCAGAAGAGAGTAGTGTAGATTTTCTAAAGAGTGCTTCTAGAAACTTGTAATCTAATGATCCGGCAGTCAAGAAGTACCAAAGAAAGGTTGTAGGTAAGTTTTGGTTGTGGTATGAGGATACTGGGTGCTCTTATTTACTATAGTAGTCCGGCTCTGTTAAGTATATATTTCTGTATTGCTAGTATTTAGTTCTAAAAAAAGCAGTCTTTTAGAAGTAAATAAAGTATCTTGACTTGTGATTTTTGAGAAATGTGAACTTTTCAGGGAGCCAGTTTGTTGGGGGAGTACATCTGAAATCCATCACAATCTATCCAGTAAAATCTTGTGCGGGATTCAGTGTGCAAAGCTGGCCCTTGAGTAATACAGGTACTTTCTTTCTTTCTGCTGTACATAATTTACTTATATACATATTAATTTCTCATTTCCTATCCTATTATACTCCCATACGCATTTTCCCCCGTCATTGTGGATTTTGGAAAATAGGAAAAAATAAGTTTTTTTTGACGTTATATGTTTGACGCAATTTTCACAATCTATTTTTTAATGGGTTATAGTTGAGTTCTGCCTAAGTCATTAAAAGTGATTGAGGAATAAACTTCTCATTGTACTTATTTTAAAACATCTATGCCAGAACAATGTGTGGTTAATATTAAGTTGCTGATGACAGTAACTACTGTTGTAAAGTGCTATAGCGGAATATAGATGGAGAAACCAACAATTTCATTTATGTCCAATGCTATAAAATTTGTGATGTACCTTTTGTAAAGTAGTGGTCCTTGACCAGTATGAAATGGATTTGGAAGACTGAGGAAGTTAGAGTGTGGCTTTGAATTTGTAAGTCTTTGAAGTAATTATGTATGCATGAATATTCAGATGCAGACCAGCTCTTTGAATTTTTTTTGGTATACTGATTATTTCTACTATTTGATAATCTGTTGATTCTGATTCTTATACTATTTTGATACTCTGATAACTTCAAAAATGAAACCAAGTGTCATCCCTATATAAATTTTCCTAACACGATCGATATTTTCAAGTTTATCTTAGTTCAATTATTTATGCTTCTATTGTCAGATTAAAATTTCCAAGTTGAACTATGCTGCTGTGAGGAGCTTAAAAAATGTGACACTATTATTGTTAATCTAAGTTTAAAATTTGAAGTTTAGAATTGCGACTCCACACCATTAGATATGATCTACAAGACATCAACTATCTAGAAATAGAATTTTGAGGGCTTTCAACATATTTTACTGATGTATTATATGTTGTCAGAATCAACATTTGAGAATTTTTGTAAAGTTTCTTATTTTTAACCTGTGTTACATGATTAAAAAGACATCAAAATCATTGCAATTTTTGTATCTTGCTGGTTTATGTGTATTACATCACATCTGCTTGGATTTCTATTTTGGAAATCAGAATTTGAGATTTACATTGGATTGATAGTATGCACTTATTGGGTACTATTATAGTAGCCTAGCTCAACTTGAAATCTTCGGATGTCAAGGTTCTCTTCACAAACCTACTTGTAACATGAACTATTTGTGTTTGCTTCTTTCCTACGTATAATCAATTAATACCCAAAACGTCACTTAAATCACAAAAATTATATTCAGCTTGAAAGGTGTTTGCAATTGTAGTAACATTATTGTTTTGTAACTATGCTTAAACAGGCCTTTTGTATGATCGTGAATGGCTACTTAAAGGACCAAATGGTGAGATTTTGACCCAGAAAAAGGTTAGTCTTATTTTTCTTTATGTATCTTAAGCTTTTCATAAGCTTCTGTTAGTACATCTAAATGCCAAGTTTTAATGTGGGACACGGTTTCAGTGTAAAAACTGTGTATTCCATGAATTGAAATTAGCCTTATTTTCTTGACATACCAAATCTAGAAAAGCAATAAGAAAAAATATATATAAAACTTTACTATGAAAATATGGTTATCATGAATATTTTAGCGAAAATGGCAAGTCGTGATTTTCCATCCTCAAGCTTCCAGACCAACACTCTGATGATAGTCCTTAAGGCTTTTCATCCAAAGAAAACCGGGTAAACCTCTGGTTTCCCTTCCTAAACAAAATCCGAAGAATTTTCATCCCAACAATCCAAACAAGCCCTTATATGCGGTTTTGTTGGTATCCTAGCAGATCTTAATACTTTGTATATACTTCATAAGCTGCCTGAAATGTCTACCAGAATAGCCATAAATTTTATGACATCTGCAAAGAGTTGTGCAAGTTTTGATTTCTTTAGCCTTAGTTTTGGGGGTGCACAAAATATCCATGTTCGATGAAATATACGTATCCATATCTGTTAGGATGCAGATATGGTTACTAAAATCTATATTTAATAGGATATGACTACATATATGGATATGTAGTGAAATATTTGGATCCATATCTGAATTATTCGAATATATGTAGGTCATACAGCTCTAATAGTTCTAACCCTTAGATTAATGAATTTTAGGTAAAGTTTGATGATCAAAGGACTTAATCTTAGCTTTTTAGATATAGTGAACATATTAATGAGCTCTCTTGCATAGCATGCACTGTATTTTTTTTTGATATTATTTGATTTCTCATATCCGTTTTGTATCCGCATGTATATCTGCTTAAATTTCTGCATGTATATCCTTGTCCGTATACGATTTTAACAGATATGGATATGAAACATAAATTTTCATTACCAAGTTATATCCGTATGGACGGATCCATGTAAGTGGGTATGGTGGCAGATACCACCATAAAAGTTTTGATTTTCAATTAATAGGTATAGAAATTTATAATGGTGCCTTGTACAATTTATATAGGTGCCCCCATAATTTGGTAGCCCAAACAATTATGAAGAACTATTGTTGGAACTTAATACAATTTATATAGGTGCCCCCATAATTTGGTAGCCCAAACAATTATGAAGAACTATTGTTGGAACTTAATTGTATTTTTTTAGCTTTTGTGATAATTTGGTAGCCCAAACAATTATGAAGAACTATTGTTGGAACTTAATTGTATTTTTTTAGCTTTTGTGATAAAAATGAAAAAGATCATGTATTAATATGAAAATGATATTGAAAAATATTATGTGTTGAGATCTTTATGGCTATTGTATAAATAAAAATTTTAATTGGTAGAATATATATCTTATATGTTATTAATTTATATGCATAATTGTAAATGTGCCCCCATAGGAAATTTTTTCTGGATCCATCACTGCATATTTGTATTTGTATCCTTATCTGTGATTGGCAAGCTGTTATGGATATGGCAACTAGTAAGTATCATATCCGAGTCGTATCTAAAGTGTATGCACCCTTAGATCCACTAATCAAATACTTATTGGGCTAGTCCATCAATGTTTCATACTGTTCATCATTATTTAGAAATCACGGAATTCTAATAGTTTAGGCATTATTACGTACCTTCTGGTTGTTTGATTAACCATTCTTTCTGCTCTTTTTGTTCTCTTCTTGTTAAATAGCTATCTAGCTTTTGCTTCTAAACCGGGACATAATCGACGTTTTTTTAAAATCCATGGCATGGACTGCAGGTTCCTGAAATGTGCCATATTCGTACATTTATTGATTTACAGAAGGAAAAGTTCTATCTGGAATCACCACGTTCCAAAACAAAACTGCAAATTTCTCTTCAGAAGAATTCTTTATGTAGGTTGAAGGAAGAAATGGATGTTTATGGTCAGAGGTATGTTTTTTCTTCTGCAAACTCTACCTACTATGATGATCTCATAGGCGTTAGTATGGTAAAAGTGTTGTCAGCCTGAATTTGAATTTGAGTACTTGTTGACAAATGGATTCTGGCGCATTCTCTTTCATCTACCTGTTCTTTTCCACGCTGATTGGACACTCATGCATATTTGCATATTTAGAGAGCATCTTCTTTCATACCAAAAATAACTACTGCGTCTTACCTTTATACTTAAGAAAAATGTGAATATAATCATTGATTTAGACTTGAAGTATGCATTGTGACCCATTTAAAATTCAACATGTCATTATAAACTGGGGAAACATAACTTAACCTTATGTATTTCATAAGATGTTTTGTCAATCAGATGTTCAAATGATGTATCAAAGGCGATTTTAATGGGCTAGAACCCATGATTTTAGTTTATTTTCGTTGTTTCGACCAAATGTGAAATCGCTATTTCCATGGGCTATATAACTCACAATTTTGTCAATTTTCGTTTTTCAACCCATTCGAAAATAAATATGCTACTTCAAAATTCATGATCCATGGCCTTAGTCCATAATTTTTGTCTATTTTGTTCATTCGACCATTTAGCAACTAATTGTGCGACATTAATATTCGTGATTTTCATGGGCTTTGATCATCCATTGTCGCTCAATCGACTCACTGGTGATTCATTATGACCACTTGAAAATTTACGATTTCGGTGGGTTATAACTCCCAAATTTGATAATTTTTGTTCGTTTCATTCCAATGTCAAGTAATTATATGTACTTAAAATTCATGATTTTGGTGTGCTATAACCCACGATTTTATTCTTTCGACCCAATAGCAACTAAATTTTCTTTCATAAATAATCACGATCTTCATGGTTCTAACCCATGATTTTTTATCAATTTTTGTCCCTCGACCCAATGGAAAACAAATATGTAGTTCAAAATTCGTTGCTTTCATGAGCTATAGTCTATGTTGTTTGTCCATTTGGTTTGTTTCGACCACTTAGCAATTAATTGTGTGAACTCCAATAGTTGCAAATTTTAGGGCTTTAACCTACTATTTTTGTCCATTATCATTCATTCATTAGGATCCATAGGCAACGAATTATGACTTCTTGAGAATTTTCGATATTGTGGGTTATAACTCACGAATTTGGCAAGTTTTCTTCGTTTCATCTGAATATCAATTAATTATATGTACTTCAAAATATCAATTTTCTTGTGTTATAGCCCATGATTTTAGTCTATTTTTGTTAGTTTCAACCCAATGACAACTAGGTCTTTTTCATCAACATTCATGATCTCCATAGGCTTTAATCCATGATTTTTTGTCAATTTTCTTCGACCCAATGGAAAATAAATATGCGTACTTTAAAATTCAAGATTTTCATGAACTATAATTCATTATTTTATCCATTATTTTTTGTTTTAGTCACTTAGTAATAAATAGTGTGAATTCCAATATTAATGATTTTCATGGTCTATGGTCAAAGCTTTTTGTCTATTATCGTTCATTAGACCCAATGACAATTAATTGGGACTACAAAATTCACGAATCTGGTGGTTTATATCTCACAAATTTGGTAATTTTTGTTTCATTGTCTTAATGACAAATAATTATGTTAGTCTAAAATTCATGATTTTACTTTGCTTTTGTTACTTTCGTCCAAATAGCATGATTTTCATGGGCTATAACCCACAATATTGACAATTTTTGTTTTTTTACCCAGTGGAAAATAAATATCCATACTTCAAAATTCTATATTTTCATGGTTTAAGTCCATAATTTTTGTCCATTTTGTTGTTTTGATTATTTAACAATTAATTTTGCAAACTTCAATAGTCACGGTTTTCATGGGTTATATAACCTATAAATTTTGTCCATTATCGTTCATTTGACTGAATGTTAATTAATTATGTCTAGTTCAAAATTCACAACTTTGGTGGGTTATTAACTCATTGATTTTTGATGTTTTTGTTCGCTTTGTCTTAATGGTAAGTAATTATAGAGATCCAAATTCACATTTTCAAGGCTATGAGCCATGATTTTAGTTTATTTTTCGACCAGTTGCCAATTAAAATTTCTTTTATAAAAACATGCGATTTTCATGGGATCTAACCCACAATTTTGTCAATTTTTGTTCGACATTGAAAATTAATATGTACTTTAAAATTCATTATTTCCACAAGTTATAATCTATGATTTTTGCGTATTTCGTTCCTTTTGACCATTTAGCAATAACTATGTGAACTTCAATATTCACAATTTTAGTAGGCTATAAATTACGATTTTGATAATTTTTGTTTGTTTTATCTTAATAGGATCTAATTATTTGTGCTTCAAAATTTGGGGTTTCATGGGTTTTAATCTATGATTTTAATTTAGTTTTGTTAGTTCCGTTCAAATGGTAACTAAATTTTCTTTCATAAAACAATCACGATTTTCTTGGGCTATAACCTACAATTTTGTCAATTTTCGTTCTTCGACCCAATGGAAAATAAATATGCTACTTCAAATTCGTGATTTTCATGGTCTAATAGTTCATTATATTTGTCCATTTTGTTCTTACAAACATTTAGCAATTAATTGTTAACTATCCATTATTGTTCATTCACCCAATGTCAATTAATTATGACTAGTTCCAAATTCGCAATTTTGGTAGGTTATATAACTCATGGTTTTTTTCATTTTTCCGTTCATTTTGGCCTAATAACGAGTAATTATAAGTACTTCAAAATTCATGATTTTTCATGGTCTATAACACAAATTTGTCAATTTTCGTTCTTCAACCAATTGGTAAATAAATATGCTTTAAAATTTGTTATTTCATAGGCTATAGTCCATTTTGTTCGTTTTCAACCATTTATCAATTAATTGTGCAAACATAAGTATTCGTTATTTTAGTGGGCACCAACAATTTTTGTTCATTATTGTTCTTTTGACCCATTAGCAATTAGTTATGATCACTTGAAAATTTGCAATTTTAGTGGGTTATAACTCATGATTTTAGTCTATTTCGAGCAAATGACAATTCAAATTTTGTTTCATTTACAATCACGATTATCATGGGCTATAACGTACCATTTTATCAATTTTTATCTTTGACCCAATCTAACATAAACGTGTTAGAAATTCGTTATTTTCATAGGCTATAGTTCACAATTTTTGTTCATCTCATTCGTTTTGACCATTTAGCAATTATTTGTGTGATCTTCAATAGTCGAGATTTTCATGGGCTTTTACCAATGATTTTTGTCCAATGTCGACCCAATGACAATTAATTATGACTAGTTGAAAATTTGTGATTCTGGTGGGTTATAGCTTATGATTTTGGCATTTTTTGTTTGTTTCGTCCCAATGTCAAGTAAATGCATATCGAAATTTGTGATCTTCATGTGTTATAACCCACTATCTTGGTCCATTTTTGTTAGTTCGCCCGAATGAGAATTAAATTTTCTTTCATCAACAATTGCAATCTTCATGGGCTTTAACACATGATTTTTTGTCAAATTTTAATTTTCCGCCCATTTGAAAAAATATATCTATAGTTCAAAATCTGTTACTTTCATAGGCTATAGTTCATGAGTTTTGTCCAATTTTTTCGTTTCAACCACTTAGCAATTAATTGTGCAGATTTTAATATTTGTGATTTCATGGGCTTTTAACTCACGATTTTGTTCAACATGTTCATTTGACCCAACGCCTACTTGAAAATTTGCGTTTTCGGTGGCTTATAACTCATGATTTTGGCATTTTTTCTTTGTTTTGTCCCAATGTTTAATATGTTCATTTGACCCAATGCCTATTTTCGTTAGTTTTGAGCTGGTGACAATTAAATTTTCTTTCATCAACAATCGCAATCTTCATGGCGTTACCCCACGATATTTTGTCAATTTTTGTTTTTCCACCAATAGAAAATAAATATGCGTACTTCAAAATTCATGATTTTCATGAGCTATAGTCTATCTTTTTGTCCACTTTTTTGTTTCAATAACTTAACAATTGATTGTGCAAATTTTAATATTTGCAATTTTCATGGGTTATGGTTAAAGATTTTTGTCCATTATTAATCATTTGAACCAATGTCAATTAGTTGACTACTTCAAAATTTGCGATTTTGCTATGTTATAACTGATAGTTTTAGCAATTTTTGCTTTATTTTGTCCTAATGGCAAGAAGTTATATTTAGTCTGATTAACGGTTTTCATGGGCTATACCCACTGTTGTAGTTTATTTTCGTTAGTTTCAAGTTTCGGCCAAATGACACTTAAATTTTCTTTAATCAAAAGTCAAGATTTTTAGGGGCTATATCCCACAATGTTGTCAACTTTCGCTCTTCGATCCAATGGAAAATAAATGTCTATTTCAAAATTTGTTATCTTTATAAACCAGAGTCGACGTTTTTTTGTCCATTTTGTTCGTTTCGACCATTTAGCAATTAAGATTGGGATCTTCAATATTGGTGATTTTCGTGTGCTATATCCACGATTTGTCTACTATTATTCATTCCACCCAATGTCAATAAGTTTTGACTAGTTTAAAATTCTCGTTGTTGGTGGGTTATAATTCATGATGTCGATAATTTTTGTTCATTTTGTTCTAATGGCATATAATTGTGTACATACTTCAAAATTCTCGTTTTCACTTGATTTTAGTTTATGTACATTAGTTTCAACGAAATGACAATTAAACTTTCATAAAAGATCACGATTTTCGTGGGCTATATAACCTACGATTTTGTCAATTTTTGTTCTTTGATCAATTAGAGAGTAAATATGCATACTTTAAACTTCGTTATTTTCATGGGTTATAGTCAATGATTTTTGTCTGTTTTGTTCGTTTCGACCATTTAGCAATTAATTGTGCAAACTTCAGTATTTGTGATTTTTTTCGTGGGCTATAACCCACGACTTTATCAATTATTGTTCATTTGACACAACATCAATTAATTATGATTATTCAAAAATTTGTGATTTTGGTGGTTACAATTTTGCCAA